CCTGGGATGTAACCGCTGCCCCGGGGTGTAACCGCTGCCCCGGGGTGTAACCGCTGCCCCGGGGTGTAACCGCTGCCCCGGGGTGTAACTACTGCCCCGGGATGTAACCGCTGCCCCGGGGTGTAACCGCTGCCCCGGGGTGTAACTACTGCCCCCCAGAGTCCAGGGAACTGCCTCGCTGCCTCTAGTGAATAATTTCTCTCTGCTTTCGTGGAGGAACTGAATCGGGTTCTGGTTCTGCTGCAGGTCCGCTCTGCTCTGCTCTGCTTTCTCTCTGCATTCACTCTTCTTCTCCTTTCCTTGGCTTCCCTCTCTCTGCCGCCCCCTGCCTGCGGTACTGCAGGCGGCCAATCGGAGCGCGCTCAGTCAGGAGCAGGTGGACGTCGTCCTGCAGGAGAACGATGCTCTGAGGACGAACCTGGCCGCTCTGGAACAGGTAACAGAGCGCCACCCACAGGAAAGCTGCCGTCACTGCAGAACGCCCAGAACCCTCCGTCCTCCATCCAGCGGCCCGGTTCCTGCAGAGCCTTCAGGGTACTGACCGCCGCTGACCTGTTTCCAGATCCAGACCTCCAAGACGCAGGAGCTGAACCTGCTGAGGGAGCAGCAGGAGGCGCTGGCGGCGGAGCTGCACCAGAGGAGGGCGGAGCAGGAGGGCCTGCTGGCCCAGAAGGACGACCTCAGCTCCCAGCTGCAGGTAACGCCTGGCAAGTTCTGACCCGCCGCCGCTGACCGGATCCTCGCGGCTGACCGACCCGCCTCTGTTCCCCCGCAGGAGTCCAGCTTCGCCAACAGGAAGCTGCTGGAGCAGCTGACAGAGGAGACGCAGGAGAAGGAGCAGCTGCTGGGAGAGCTGGAGGAGACCAGGAAGGTAGGAACACACACCTGACAACTCCTGATACATCCAGCATTGATCCAGCATTGATCCAGCATTGATCCAGCATTGATCCAGCATTGATCCAGCATTGATCCAGCATTGATCCCCCCTCTCCCCCCTCCAGACGGCGGAGAAGCGGAAGGCCATGTTGGACGACATGGCGTCTCAGCTGAACCAGGTGAAGTCTGACCACAAGGAGGCGCTGTCTGACCTCAGGCTGCAGCATGAGAAGGAGGTGAGAGCAGAGCTGGAGGTTTCTGGCCTCTGCAGACCGGTGAGGTCCAAACATTACTTTGACTGGGCCTCCTGAAGCTGATTGGTGCGTCTCGCCCCTCAGGTCCTCGGCGTGAGAGCTCGCTATGAGAAGGAGCTGCGGGTTCTCCACGAGGAGAAGAACCGCTCTGAGGAGGAGATCCGGCAGCAGCTCAAGGAGGAGAAGGTTCTAGTTCTGGTTCTGGAGCAGCGGACCCATCCGGGCCGGAAGTCTGACATCCGGTTTGTGTTTCAGGGTCGGACCAGAGAGCTGCAGAGCCTGCAGCAGCAGCTGGAGGATCTGCAGCAGCAGCTCCAGGCCATGGAGGGAACCAGGGACTGGTTCGAGAGGAGGCTGAAGGAGGCCGAGGTGGGTCCGGCGCTGGCCCGGAACCGGTACCGGCGGGCTCGGCCAGCAGAACCATGACCTGATTGCTGTCTGTGTGTGAGCAGGAGAACCTGGAGATGAACGGCGAGCGGCACCGGCAGGACGTCCAGACGCTGCAGGAGGAACACGGCCAGCAGCTGCAGGTAGCCGGGGGTCAGGGGTCAACAGTAACTAACAGAAGAAGGTCAGAGGTCAGTGACTGATGATATTTGAATAAATCGGAGCGCTGCTGTCGACCAGCGGGGGGCGCGGCAGTGCTCCCGCCCTAATGGTGGCCCTTGACTAGACCTTTTCTGAGCCGATCCCAGATCAGCTGAACAGGAATAACTCTGCGTAGGCGTGCTGATTGGATGCGCTTCTAGTTAGTTGCCATCTCCATGGCAACAGACATGTTAAATCTTTCCAATAGCCAATCAAAGCAGGAGCTTCCCTCCATCTGTCAGATCCTGCTGCTGTTGCGGCCAGCAGGGGGCGATGCTGGCGGAAAACGGCTGGGACACAGAGAGACACTTCCAGACACCTGATGAGTCGGAACGGCCTTCAGGAGGACGCCGTCCCCACAGGCAGGACGCCGGGAATGAAATCCTGGCGGTTCATTTTTGTCACGTTTGTTTCCTGCAGGAGAAACAAGCTGAGATGGAGGGATGGAAGCAGCGGCTGGTGGAGGTGGAGAAAGAGAGAGATGAAGACAGAGAGACGATCGGGAAGCTCAGACAGGTGAGATCATCATCAGGTCCTCACTGACAGCCGGTAGCTCCAGCAGCTACTGAAGCTGCCTGCAGCGCCGCCATCGCTGTCACGCCGTTTCCACACTGTTCCACTAGGAGGCGCAGTTGAGCCGCTTTTCTACTGGCAGTGCCCACCAACTGGTTAATGTTGGAGGAGTGAGCTTTCCCATCATGCTTCTCTCTGTTGGGAGGGACGCAGCGGCTGCTGCGGTCAACTCTCTGCTGCAGCGACGCTCGGTATCAGAGAACCTCCAGGTTCTGGTTCCGATGGACCCAAATAAGCCCACATATTTAACAGTCTTATAGAAATTCAGTGCTGGCCCAAGTATAATGATGAAGACTCAGATCAACTTATTATTTCACTGTGCATGTAAATATAATTACAACCTTTAGGATTTAGGCAATGCAATCAAAAGATGTAAACCAATAGCAACACATATACTTTATTATTTTTAAACCAAATGAAAAATAAAATTCACATCACAAATTAATATTCTGTGTTTCACACTGTGGACACCAAACGGCAGCAGAAAGCTGACCAGCGGCACGTTTCTCTCTATTTCAGAGCTGCCAGAGGCTAACGGCTAGCGGCTAATGGCTAGCGGTCACGGCTAATGGCTAGCGGCTAATGGCTAGCGGTCAGCGGCTAACGGCCAGTGGCTAATGGCTAACGGCTAGCGGTCAGCGGCTAACGGCCAGTGGCTAATGGCTAACGGCTAGCGGTCAGCAGCTAGCTGCAAGTGGCTAATTCACAGTCATTCTGCTGATAAACATTGATTAAAGTTCTCTGTGCCCAGCGGCTCTCTGATGGCAGGAAAACTTACATTCTATCCCAGGGCTGGGCAGTCCTGGCCCTGGTCCCGGTCCGGGTCCCGGTCCCGGGTCCCGGTCCCGGTCCCGGGTCCGGGTCCATTCAGGCGGTGATCTTGTTCCTGCTCCAGGAGCTGAAGGACACGGTGGACGGCCAGCGGATCCTGGAGAAGAAGGGCAGCTCTGCGGTGAGTTCCAGCCGGCCCGCAGCAGGTGAGAGTCGTGCGGCGCCGACTAACGCTGCGTCTCTGCAGCTGAAGGACCTGAAGCGGCAGCTGCAGCTGGAGAGGAGGCGGGCCGACAAGCTGCAGGAGCGGCTGCAGGACATCCTGACCAACAGCAGGACCAGGACAGGTAAACGGACCTGAGGCTGTGATGTCATCACAAGCTGGGCTCACCGGCCTCCAGAACCAGAACCAGAACCAGGTGCAGCTCACCTGCTGCAGCCTCGTCTGACGCATCCACAAACTGTTCACACCCCTCAGTCTCGGCGTCGCTCTGATGAATTCAGTTCTTCACCACGTCGTCATGACGACATGGACGAGTCAGAGGCCCAGACACCCTCGATGACCTTGATGTAACTAATCGTGGCGGTTCTGTCCAACTGTTTGTCCTTCAGGTCTGGAGGAGCTGGTCCTGTCTGAGATCAGCAGTCCCAGCCGGACTCAGCAGACCGGGGACTCGTCCTCCGTGTCCTCGTTCTCCTACAGAGACGTGATGAAGGACGCGCAGCCGGCCAATCAGAACAGGGTGGGTCAACTCTGCAGATCCTTTTACGAAAACTTTCTCAGCCGCAGAGAGAATCCATGTTGAGAGCCATATCATCTGAGCTTCTTCAGAGACTTCTGGTCCAAACTGATGGGCTCCTGTAGCAGTCGGTACTGCAGCGGCTCTGAGAAAGCCTCTGACTGCAGGTCCAGAGTAGCGTGCTGCCTGCTCCTGTGATTGGCTCCCTGTCTGCTGGAAGTTCATCCCAAGGTCTGGCCTGGGATTCGGGGTCATGGCTACCCCCAGAGGTGGTTGCTATGGTTACACCTCATTACAACAGTCCTCAGGTAAGAGGAAGACCCAAGAACCAGAGACAAGGAAAGAAGGTTTTAGCTGCTCCCTCCATTTGCACCCCCGTACTGTGGAGATTAAAATGGATACAAAGAAATACTAATAAACAAACCGGCTTTATGGATCCATGTTGGCCGGAGAGAAACCTCAACGCATCAGCAGCTTCCAGGTTTTTTCCAGGTGTTTCCCATGTATCTGGTGTCTCCATCAGGAGTTGGTGTAGGGCAGGTGAGTGTTGGTAGGTGTAGGTGACCTCTGACCCCAACGTGTCTCCGTCCAGTCCGGCGCCGGCAGCCCGCAGTCGCAGCGACCCGCCGAGCTTTCTGATGACGAGATCGGGGAACTGTTCCAGCGGTTGGCCGAGGTCCAGCAGGAGAAATGGATGCTGGAGGAGAAGGTGAGCCGTTACCATAGTTACAGTGGTAACTGGATCCGATGAGCTGTTGCCATGGTAACCATGTTCCTCGGCGCTGACGTCGCTCTACCTGGTGCAGGTGAAGCACCTGGAGGTGAGCTGCTCGTCGATGGCCGAGGACATCTGCAGGAAGAGCGCCATCATCGAGACCTATGTGATGGACAGTCGCAGAGGTGAGACCGCCAGGACCAGAACCGGGCTGGGTCTGCTTCCCAGCTACAACCTCCTTCACTGTTACCAACCAGAATCTTCTGGTCTCATCCTGACCTCTGACCTCTCCACAGACGTGTCGGGCGGCGCACTGGCAGCTCACGGAGGCTCCCAGGGAGACAGAGGAGGTCTGGGCTCGGTGCTTCGAGACCTGGTGAAACCCGGAGACGAAAACCTGAGGGAGATGAACAAGAAGCTGCAGAACATGTTGGAGGAGCAGCTGACCAAGAACATGCACCTGCAGAAGGTAGCCANATATATATATATATATATATATATATAGATATATATATCAGCCTAATTTATCTGTCGGCTGTTTTCCAGCCGAGGATTTCTAGCTTCAAAGTGAGTCAGCAGCTGAGATTGAGTCCAAAATCCGATGCGAGATTCATCCGTGCTGCAGTGAATCCGTCTCTCTTTAAAGATATTTCCCTCTTCTTCCTCACGTCGTGTCTTAATGAAACCTTCAAAACAAAACAGAAGATTTGGGATGTATCTTAATTTTGAAGTAATATAATTTTTGTAATATATGTTACAGTGTCACATTTCTAATGTAGGCTCTTGTGTCAGATAATCTAAGTGAATGTTAGAAAATAATTAATTTTTTAGATTTAAGGAATCTCAGTTAGCCTTCATAGCGGGGCTGAACCCGTATTACACCAAGCACTGTAGCTAATATTAGCTGGTATCTCGCCGGTGGACATAAATACAGTAAAGTAATATTCTAATCACAAAATATACACAATAATATGTCCATCTTACTTGTAAAATGTTGTTTGTGGAGCCCTCACATCAATAGTCCATCGATCAGAACAACAATATCCCTCAGTGCTGAGGCATCTTCTGCTGTTTTGATTGAGCAAAGTAGGAAGGTATACCGCTCCAAGATGACCGCCGTATTTCCTGCGACGGAGCAGCCAGTGCTGGGTCTATTCTTATATTATGTCTATGATTGGCTCACTGTAGCTCTGAGAATCCACCTTATTCCTAGCCCCCATGAGGCTTAGCGTGATTTATGGGTGCGACTTCCGCTGCAACCAGGAACCGCCTTTGTTTACATGTTATCAACTCACTAACCGGTTTTCCACAGAGGGTTTTAGGCTATAAAATATGTGGGAACTCCAGCTGTCACAGCTTACGTGTGGCAATATTGTTTTACCGCTACCTACAGCTACCTACAGCTACAGAGGGATGGCGACTTGAAGAAATGGCCGCAAATAACCCACACTAGCAAAGTTAGCTACTTCACTGACTCAGTTGCTTCGGATGCAGATGCGGGTTTTCTTCCCTTGACTTTCTATCCACACAATGAAATGATCACACATAAAGCATTTTGGGTTCTCTCTCCAAGTTTAGATATTTTAGTGAAATTCTTTTTATTTCCTTATCTGTCGGTAGGCGATGAAAACTACAGCTTATCACAGAAACTCTGCCTTTTTGTTTCGGGAGCACATTCAAAACACACCTGCTGCTGCA